CTCGCGAGTGGAGTCTGAAATCTCTGACCACTTGTTGAAATCTAGTGGTCACTTCGCACCACTCGATTCGAACATTCGAACGAGCCCTCGCCCCCACTACCCCTTTCAGCCTTTAGCTCCCTGCTTCCGGTTCCGGCTTGCGCTCCTCTTCCCATTTCGTCGCTAACCGTTGCACGTTGCGTACTGCCTGCCCTGTCTCTGACTCTGACCTATCTGCCTTTGCCGATCCTTGTTTCTTCACCATGGTGGACACCCACAATCAGTTTCGTAAGTCCTCAGAATTGCCTCGCCCTCTTTTAGTCCGGATTGACTGCTACTGCCGGGGAGTTCAATGCTTTCAACGCCTCTTTAGATTCAGCGTCTGGCATGGCCTGTCATGGCGTCATGCAATCGAGTCCAAGCCGAATCCACTGTTTCAGAATCCCCTTTTCCCGAATGCTTCTTGCGCTGTTCAGCGATGCTTAATGAGATTTCTCAGTTTGAATTTCAATCGAATTGTGAAGTTCATAACCTAGCCGCCACATAACAACGGCACCGTCACCGCCTCCTCGCGGCCGGGCAACGTTGCTCAGGGCTAGTAGTTTAGTGTTTGCATCTCCTTTTTTTCTTATTTTCAGAGGAGGACGTGGACGACCCTGAAGCCCAGCCGCCAACTCCACCACCCACCGAGGAAGGAGGGGCTGCAGTCGGCGCTGCCGTTGGTGGTGCGAACCCTGTGAGCCCAAGCGTGGTAAACATCAATCTGTTTGGTAAGTCTTCCTTTTGAATGGAATGGGACTGCGTCTTGATGTTTTTAGCTTCGCAGAACCAGTTAAGCTAGTTTTCGAGGGTTTCCCCATCAATTCTTGTAATGCTGGTCTTCAGAGAGAACCTGAACCATTATATCTGTGTACCTGCACCAGTGGGGTAACTTGCGATCATGTCATGTAAATAAAATACGTCAGCCTTGTTAATTTTTGGGCCAGTAAGCCCATTAAGCAGGCCAACATCTCATTGTTTCATTTCCACCTCAATGTTGTCGAATGAGAGCCTGTACCCATTTAGTTCCAGAGTAGCTTTCATTAGCGCTATGATGAAGGGAAGAGCCAACATGAGTCCTGCACTGATAAATAATGTATAGCACTGGGAACTTTAGATTATTATCACTGGAAACTTAAAATATTTGTACCTGGGATACAATCATCTTGCACTGTGTAATGGTTCCGACAATGTTTATGGCCTCTAGAGAACTGAAACTAAAGTCCAGAGCCTCGAAAGTCAGACTCAGACTCAATTACTTATTTGTGGCAACTCCTTCACGATTAATGAATTCTCCCAGGTCTTAACATTTATTTTTTTGTGTATGTAATCTTGTTAACATTATCCCTTCTGCTCTACAGGAACTTTAAACCGCAACTCTGTAGAATTGTTGCGGGAGGTGATTGGACAACCTCAGCAATTGAACCTGCCCCCCTCTCCAGCACCTGCCTCTCCACGATGTAAGTACAATGTTGCCATCACTGAAAAATGTTCTTTAGAGAAACAGCATCGCATTTATATCAGATCTTATTGCTGTTGGACAATCCAGTAACAGAGGCAACTTTGAGTGCTGCTAAAAATTGTCACTTTTATTAACCTTAATTTAGCTCATGTCCAGGAAAGCTATGTGGAGCTTTGAGGGATGATCTGTTGCAATTATGTGCATACAAATTTTATCACACCTATGTATGCATTTTGACCCCACAAGAACTTCCTGAAGCATTTTAATTTATTTTATGGTTTTCTCTCCTTGCAGTTGGCCCTCGATTCAATCCCTGGGAGGGTCTGGCAGCTCAGCATCTTCGAACTCCATACCAAAGGCCTGCTGCTACCAGGGGGCGTGGACGACCTCCAGGACCAGTGACGGTCCGCAACAGGATGCTGGCTGCTGCGGCAGCGGCCGCTGCGGCAGCGGCCGCTGCGGTGCCAGCACCTGCAGCTGCAGCGCCGCCACCATCTTTCCTAAGACCCGCTACCAACTCCAATGAATGCAATGCGTGCCGCCTGGAAACTGATAGGGTAGTCCATTGCGGCCACGGCTTGTGTACCATGTGTGTAGACTCAGTGAACGGTATATGTCCTGTTCCTAACTGCGGTTTTCCATTTGATAGGCAACTTCAGTATACTGTTTTTCGCAGGGCATAATATGTCATGATCAGCTTTATTTGTCTGCTCCTTTGAGTACTGTATCTGTTCCTTATCTGCTATGCTTTGGCAGCCCACTTTCTTCATTTCTCGCTAATTTTTACTGATTTTTTATTTAAACTTAGATTCTTTTTCGTGTGCAGTCAGGTGTATAGGTGTTTATTAAGCTATTTGACCCTATTATTTTTTATACTTTAGAGCTCATGTCCTGTTCCTAACTGCGTTTTGTCATTTGATAGGCAACTTCAGTATACTGTTTTTCGCAGGGCTTAATATGTCATGATGAGCTTTATTTGTCTGCTCCTTTGGGTACTGTATCTGTTCCTTATCTGCTATGCTTTGGCAGCCCACTTTCTTCATTTCTCGCTAATTTTTACTGATTTTTTATTTAAACTTAGATTCTTTTTTGTGTGAAGTCAGGTGTTTAGGTGTTTATTAAGCTATTTGACCCTATTATTTTTTATACTTTAGAGCTCATGTCCTGTTCCTAACTGCGTTTTGTCATTTGATAGGCAACTTCAGTATACTGTTTTTCGCAGGGCTTAATATGTCATGATCAGCTTTATTTGTCTGCTCCTTTGGGTACTGTATCTGTTCCTTATCTGCTATGCTTTGGCAGCCCACTTTCTTCATTTCTCGCTAATTTCTACTGATTTTTTATGATGAATGACAAATGTTCATGCTATGAACATTACAAACTTAGATTCTTTTTGTGTGAAGTCAGGTGTATAGGTGTATGTTAAGCTATTTGACCCTATTATTGTTTATACTTTAGAGCTCTCCCTAATGTTATGATGTTATGTCAAATAATGGTCCATAATTTTTAATGATGTATGTTCGTACTATGATTTGACTTTGGCTGTTAATAAATGACTATAGCTTTCCAGATTTTGGCCAAGTTTTTGCCTTCCCTGTGCCACATGTGGCTGTTTCTAAGCTATTATTGTTTATACTTTAGAGCTCTCCCTAGTGTTATGATGTTATGTGAAATAATGGTCCATAATTTTTAATGTTGTATGTTCGTACTATGATTTGACTTTGGCTGTTAATAAATGACTATAGCTTTCCAGATTTTGGCCAAGTTTTTGCCTTCCCTGTGCCACATGTGGCTGTTTCTAAGCTATTATGTTTATACTTTAGAGCTCTCCCTAGTGTTATGATGTTATGTGAAATAATGGTCCATAATTTTTAATGTTGTATGTTCGTACTATGATTTGACTTTGGCTGTTAATAAATGACTATAGCTTTCCAGATTTTGGCCAAGTTTTTGCCTTCCCTGTGCCACATGTGGCTGTTTCTAAGCTATCCAGTGGGTATGGCATTTGTACGCATGTCTGACCCTGCTAGGCTTCATACACCTAAGCATCGCATGAACCCACACTTGACTGTTCCGTCAATCTGAGGCAATGGTAGTCGTGTAAGAAATGGAATCGTTAGAAGGTCGAATGGCAGGCCATTGACTACTGTAAGGGCATCACCATGATAAGTTACCTATCTAACAATGAAGATAGAAGGGAGAAGGAGTGAGCAACTCAGAAACATTCCAGTAAGATTTATTGCATAAACACACAGTCAATACAAACAATATGGTCCCATTAAAAATTTTCAGACAATCTTCTTTCCTTCAAGCCCTTCTGAATGTTCCTCTGCGACTGAGAGTCGAATCTTGGTTGATGATTTATCTTCTTCAGGGTCAGAAGTCGACCGGAGCAAAGTGTGAAGAGAACTGGAAACAGATTCAAGAAGGATTTGAGTGACAGGAAAGATAAGAGCAGAGCAATTAGGTCATAAGGGACTTGAAGATGTAAACCAAAACTGGTCTGGGTGTGCCCTAAAAAAAAATTTTTACAGCATATATTGAAGAGGATGGCAACGATGAGTAAGAGAGCATTCATCCTCAGTTCCTGACAGTCCCCTCATTGGAAGAATAAACATTATACCTCAGCATGCAACACGATTCATTGTAACACCAACATATTTTATGTTCATGTTTCTTGCGAGATCTTACGATTGTTTATCATATCATTTAGAGAGTACCCAGCATAGCTCTGCTCTAAAACAAAGGGGAAAAATGAATAAAAGGGAGAGGGGGAGAGAGAAGGAGAAGAAAAGACTCAACATAATTCAGACAAAAAAATGGAACAATGGAGCCATCCTGAAGCCATCCATGCTTAGAACACATGTGAGTGGCTAGACACCAACAGAAGTTGTCTCTCAGCCTATTGCTTCCTGGGCTTGCAGTTCCTAATAAAAACAAAACCCCAAAAAATGACATTAAAATTTAGAAGGTACAAAGTTTTTTCACCGTTGACATGCCTGCTTTTGATTGACGGTTTCATCTTTCAGAGAGAAAGCAGAGAGAGCAGTTCTAAACTAAAGATAACACCTATGCGAAGGCAGTTCGCAACAACAACTAACTTTTGACTCGGGCTTATCCATCCCTTTGACATTCCCAGATAGAATAACTAATAAACTTTTCAATTTAACATTGCAGTAGTTCTGCAACTCTTGGAGGGCTGAGAAAAGTTGAGAGGCATCAAAGCAGATGGGAGCAGGCAAGTAAGATTGTTCAAAGATGCAAAAAATATCAAACACAAAATGCAGATTCTTAACTGACCGGTGAGTAGCAGACGGACAGTTGCAGCCTCCCGATTCCACCACATGAACAAAATAACAAGAGCATTTTGGGGTGATCCACCCAAGCCAAGCTACTTTGATTCCTGCAAAATTAAAATGTATGTGTCACTTCCAGCACAACAATAGCCTACTCTTCCTGGTCTGTTTGTTTGCATATTATGCTAACAACTATCCAATAGCACTCACAATGCACTGGCTTCAATGAATGAAATTCTTATGCTTTCCCACAATGAGACGCACCTTTGATACAAAAATAGAAACAACAGGGAGATCATCTCATTAATACGGTAATTTTTTTAACACCTTCCACCAGGTCTGGAACACTTCTAAATCCATTGACTTTTCCAAAGGGAAACGGCTGAAGAGAGTTGAGAGGCATCGGAAGCACATTGGAGCAGATGAGTCAGTTTCACCGTGTTGGGTTTTGTTCAGAGCTGCAATAATAACCAAAACAGACTTTGTTACAAACACAAGAAGGTGAGAAAGCAATCCGATAGTATATCAAAGCTAGAAACCCTCTCCCATATTTCCTTTTATATTCCCTCAGAATCAACTGAAGTCAAAATTAGAAAAGGAACCCTAGCATGAGAAAAGCAGATCATAAATGGGGTGACAATCACCAGAGGATGATGGAATAGGATGATGTGTAAACAATGCACTCATGCTCTCATCAGAGATGCCACTGGCTTCCTGTTTTACTGGAAAAGTGACAGTTTGATCTAGGTATATTCTAAATAACACTTACCTACACAAGCGCTTGAATAATGGCCAATGAATATGACACACAGGTTTCCGATGATTCTCCGTTGAACCTCTGGCCTCACCTTTCACCGTAGGCAGAGTACTCCTGCAGACAAAAAACAAAAAATTATAATGCATACACATCCAAGCACACTGTATATCAGAAAGAACCCATTCAACACTTTGCCCAACATGAATACACCAGAGGTATGAATAATAAATGTGGACCAACCTCAATGAGTGCGTCTGACTTTTGCTACTGGTCGGCAATTGCTGTTAATGACCGAGCTGTATGCTGATTTCTTTCCAGAGCTGAAGCACAAAGGAAGACACTTTTTCATTTAAATGAACTAAGCAAAGCCCTTTCCAAATAAATTTTCCACACAAAGGGCACTGTGGTTCAAACACACAAGAGAGGAATCTACACTTTGAATGACAAAACTCACTTTGCCAATCCAGCCAAGGTTGGTTGAGTCATCCTGACACCTCCACACGGGACAGGGAAAAGGAATAAATGGACCACCTTTCCATACAGTCATACATATGAGGCAGAGTACTCCTGCAGACAAAAAAACAAAACAAAAAATTATAATGCATACACAACAAAACAAACACGTACAAAGAGAGGTCCCAAAACTAGGGAGCATTGATTTTAAATATACGAAAGATTTCAAAACAACGGCAGCAGATCCTCGTGTTGTCAGTCCCATATGTTTACAGTTTGATGCCATTAGTTAGATGAGTTGACAGGACAGGTTCTTGACTGGCACAGCACAGCATTCATGAACAACAAAATTCAAGTTCAAACTCACTCACCTCAACAAGAAGTTCAGTGTTGGCGACTTGACAGCAAACCGACAGCAGCAACCCTTCCATTCCACCCTTGAAGAAACTGCCAAGAGCACTGGGACTGGTTCTCGTAAGCCAAGCTGGATCCATTACTGCAAAGATAAGATATATGTTACTTCCAGCATGTCAATGACCTGCAATCTGGTTGCAAATGCAGACAAGCCCATGCTATATAGCATAAGCTTTGCATGCCAAATTGGACACTTGGAAACTAGGAACTAGGAGAGCAGATCATGATGACACTTCACTTGACGCTTACAACTGACGAGCTTCGATGCAAAGAATGGCGCACGTCTCTTGGACGAGCAAGGAATTAACTGCAAAACCCGAAGTGAGCCTGAGTTTCCATACCAAACCCGCAGCGGTTCCAAAGCAAATCGTGCCTACTGTTAGGCTTACCCAGGCCAGCGGCGAAGAGCAGAAACGATGCAGAACCAAGAGGAACGACGCGGATTTGATGGAGCAGATCAGATAGAGCCACGAAAAAAGGAACGATTGGAATCAGTGGAAGGGTTAACCTCACCAACACGCAGCACTGCGCGGCTTACCGCCGCTCCAGAGTGCGAAAACGAGTAACCAAATATGCATATTTGGACGCGCACTCGGCCCAAAACACACTTCCGGCTGCTGCTGGTATCGGGGTACAACATTAACAAACACGAGAGACTTCTCTGCTTCACACATAGCTCGCTCGTCGCCGTCTTCGTCTGCTGCTGTCGGGGCTGCGTCCAAAATGCCCTCCCGCGGCGCTCGGAGCCGGGAGCCCCCTGACTTCGCCACTGCACCACAATGAAAGCCCGAGTGATAACCTATCAAATGACACCTGTCCCTTCTTTTTAAACCAAGGGGCAAGTGGGGGCAAGTAGCACTACTGCGAGAAAGGTGTGGTCGCCTGGTGACGCGTCCGAATCGGGGCCCAAAAGCAACAGGCTTCCTTATTCGCCCTCCAGGCGGTGGTCTGCACAGTGTTGACAAACATAAGTGCTTTCCTCTATCCGCATTCGAGGTTGTCGTTTGGTTTCAGTGAGTAAAATGTGTCGTTAGGAACTGGGGGAGAAAGGGCCACTGTTAGGAGAAAATCTAGAGAACACATGCGATAGTATCACTTCACGTGATAGCTCCTAAGTTTCTTGGTACCGGCGATACCCCTTTACGAACGAAAGTCTCTCACTGGCGGGGTAGCGACGCAGTGTCTGGAACTCACCGCACAGCTCCTGGGGCGCTGACGACGAGAAGTGAGCGAATTTTTCATACACGGCGTGAATCGGTAGCCTCGTCAAAGGGGGCTCGGCTTGCGTGTCCAACCCGAAACCTCGGCCTGGTCGCCCAACACATCACCAGCTGCTCTACCCCACCCTCTCAACACACCAGAGTAAAATTATCTTTTTTTTTTTTTAATATTATTTTAACACGGTAAAATGACCACAAAAAGCTTCCTTTACAAACAAATAATAATAAATAAAAAAAAAAAAAAATAAAAATTACTTCAAATATGTATTTTCGGCCGATCGTGCGTGGTAGAGTTGAGCCACCCCCTTTTTGCGGATTGTTCTGAATTTTGATAAATTTCTATGAAATACTTTGAATTTTGTGAATTTTAAAGAATTTTTGAATTTTGGAGAATTTAAAGAATTTTCGTGAATTTCAATAAATTTTTGTGAATTTTATTGAATTTTGGTGAACTTAAATGAAATTTGGTGAAGTTTTTGCAAAATTTCAGTAAAAATTTAATGATTCATTCGCGGAGCGAGTTCGCGAGCGGCAGCGAGCGAACTCACAAGGGAACGTTTTTAGGTCATACACTCCGATTTCGACCGAACTTTGGGAATTCGTTCGTTTTTAGACTAGATTAAGATGGGCCATCAAAGTTGGTGCAACAATACATATCTAGATGGTCAAATGGGGCTTTAAGTTCAGTTTTAACAAAACTTTATTTACCAAAATTTTGCATTTTTTTAGATCTTTCGAACAGTATCATCATATTGGATCCACAGGCAATATATACTCTCCTAAAAATCAGTTTTTAGTGTTTTTGAGCTTTTGCTGAAATGTTTTTAGTTTCGCCCTGGCAACAATTTTCGTCCGATCACAAAGTTATACATACCAAAAATTTGCATTTTTTGAGCCCTTTCTATTTATTTAAGTATATGGGACCTTTGAGCAAACAATAGACCCTTTATTCCAATTTTAAGTGTTTTGCAACTTTGTTTTAGCGTCAAAACAAGTGCCCGGGCTTAACCAAGATGTAGAGCCACATCGCCCAGACTTTGCAGGGATATAAAGGAACATATTCCACACCCATCGCGAGATAGCCGCATCCTGGGCGATCCATGGTTTGGTCCCTGTAGGGCCAAAAGTGCCATTTTTCACTATTGGACCCAAGTTTGGAGCCTCCAAAGAGATGGAAGGTGACGTCACCGGACCCCAGCATTGTGGGATCTCTTTTCTAACATGGTCAACTGCAAAGAAAACCATACGCCGTTTAATTCTGGGATTTTCGACCCACCCTGACCCACACAACGAACGATTGATGCTATTTTGTGTCGCTTGAACCACTCAAAACGGCGCGCAGCTGTTGCATTTACAGTTTCCTTCAAATTATCGGAAAAATTACGTATTTTGCTGTTTGAATGCCACCCTCTACGGCACCCTCGTTGGATGGCCCGGTGCTAGGCTCCCTTATCCCCCCTGCCTCATTTTCACCCACGCTGGTCACCTAAGGGGGCGATGTTGTGCTCAGAATCCCTAAAAAATGTCGAGAAGCGGTGAAAATCTTAACTATTTCGTCAAATTTAGCATGTTGTGAGGCAAAGGCTCGAAATGGGGTGGCTCATATGAGCTCTGGTGGTTGGAAAATTCTTCTTTCTTGTAAGTGAAGGCAATCGAGTCGAGAAACCTTAACCCCGAACTCAAGGGGGAGAACAAAGGGGAAAAGCTAGTTTTTGCCGCTTTATGACCTAAAAAGTCAGCTAGGGTGATGACAGGGGATGGCACGACCGTTACCATGCATTGTGACCATTGATTCTAGACACAATCACCACATAGATGTTAGCGACACCATGCAATATCTGAGAGGTGACGAAAAATTAAGGAAGAAATTCGAAGAGTACTTTGATGATCGCATGAAGCCTGGAGATGAGGCTACATGAGGAAAAACTGGCAGTTGAAGATAAAGGTGAAGAGTAGGGTCAGTCATGCTGAGGCCGTTGTTAGTTATGCGAGTTGTACATATCAGAAAAAGTAGCCCGTCCAGAGTTAGAAAGAATGCCGTCAAGAGAATCGAAATCGGACAAACGCTAGGGGTCCCACATCGGCGTTTTTGCTCAGCTTAGGCAACCCGCCACGCACCGACCCATTTTTTTTTTTTAAATTCTACCTATTTGGCCAGGTAAGAGTTTTCCCCTCGCGCGGATCAAGTCTGGCGGTGTCCGCAATGTCTGCCCTGGTCGGCAAGAAGCCACAACGACACCAGGTGAGTCGCAGGAACCAGGAAAGCAGGTAAAACATGGCGGTTTTGCGATTTTGGGGGAAAATGCACGCGCTTAGCGCACTGCACGTGCGTACATGCGCTGCGGATCGCCACTTCTACTTCTCCCGCGCCATACACACCGCCGCACAGTGGGCCGCGAAGCCGGTTTAGGCGGACATAATTCCATTTTTTCAACTCTCAAATCTTAAAGTTTTTTGCATGACAACTCTTCCCAATACTCCAAAAAACCAGGATTTGACAGAATTTTAACGCAGGGACAGGCTGAGGCAACCATACAGATGGTCAAACACGCACCAAACGATTTGCGCCACTTTGGTACAATAAATATGCATGATTTAAAACGCAAAAAATGCTTATAAATTTTTGTGCAGCAAACTTTTTATTGATACCACGTTAAAGGGCCTTTCTTCACGAACATTTGCATACATTTACTTTTGATTTTGAACGATTTTTGTGGTGTCCAGCTTCACTTTTACTACACTCTTACAAAATTGTTAAAATTAAACCTTTGCAGAGGCGGCACTTTTTTGTTTAACGTTGTTTAACGGCCTCCTTCAGTCCATGCGGAAGCCAACATGCCAAGGAACAAAACCCAAAAGAGTTTAGCTGCACCTACCTGCACCTTTGAATTGTAGGGTCTCCCAAACATTGTATAAAAGGGGGAAAACGGTCCCGCGCAGCGCAACGCTTCCCCGCGTAACGGAGGAGTTGCTGCATAGTTTTCGTTTGTAATGATTAGAGTTGTGCTTGTCAGAATTTTCGTTCAACGTGAGTGCATGTTTTGGTTTTTGCGTCGCTCATTTTATGAAAATGCAGAAATTTTGTCAGACCATGTCTTGGCGTATCAGGTCCCTTTGCATCAGATATTGTCGAATTTCGCACTTGAGGTGCGAAAGGACGGTCCAATGCATCAAAAATTGCCAAAAACGGATTCTCAACCCCTCACAACCCCCGACTACCCAGTTAAACGTAAAAATAGCCATTAGTATGGCCTGAGAGAATTATGTCCGCCTAAACCGGCTTCGTGGCCCACTGTGCGCCGCACCCTTCCAGCGCGACGCAAGCCAGCCCCCTGACCCAGACCGACCCCCTAAAACACATTATGGACTCGTTTTAAGACTGATTTAGAGACATTTTGCAGCTCTTAGCTGATCCCGCACTTGTTCAGTGCGAGGTGGCCCCAGAACTCACCACTAGGGTGGAGCAATGGGTCTAAAATCGAAAAACATTTTACAGAAATGGGTCGTTCCGGATACTGTAAGACTTGTGCCACAACAGTTTTGGCCGAGGCCACCCAATTCTTGCCCATCAGGGACCTCAAAAATGGATCTAAACGTGCAAAATGACACTGTAACGACGACCATAACATTGGAACCAGGTCCAATTTTTACATGCTCTATCTCGCTTTTGGTGCGGAATATCTCGCAACCTCTTGTACAGTAGGCAACCCAACCGATTTTGACGCCCGAGACATTTTTTGAATAGTTTTGATCAGGAGCGTCGAATGGTGCCCCAAGCAATCCGATAGGACGACTCAAACACCTTCGAAACGCAGAAACATCTTGGATTTAGGGGCTTAAAACGGGATTGTACGCCCCTGGAAAATAGGCAATGCGTTGGATCGTCATGTTATGTAT